CTTAGTGAAATTCTGGGGTCATTGTTCAAGTAGGTCAGAACAAATGATCTTATAAGGCCTGTCCTGACCTTAAAAAACTACTATGAAAAATTCCTCATGAGGTACGAATGAATCAACTGAGGCCTTATATGATCATATAAATTATTTAAAGCAATTTTAATTTAAAATTTATCTTTTTTAAACCAAGAAAAGCACACATCCTCAATTCTGAAACTGATTTGCTCAGTGAAAGAGCATTATAACTACAGTTGTTTTACTACAACAGTCACCTATCCTGGAAAAGTCAGCACTCCTAAAAATGAAGGTTTGCAAAGACCCATCTGCTCACTCCATTTAAATTATAGTTTTCTGTCATTAAAGTCCTATTCTCAGGAAGCTGGTACCCAGAGCACTGTCAGTAGATTGGATAGCATTCTACAGGTTACTGACTAAGTTTTCACATTTCTTCTTCTATCCATAGAATCAGAGAATCATACAGTATCTCAAGTTGGAAGGAATTCATATGAATCAATGAATCCAAATCCCCATTCCTTGCAGGACTACCTGAAACTGAACCATATGACTAAGAGTGCTCTCCGGACAATCCTTGAATTCTGACAGTCTTGGTGCTGTGACCTCTTCCCTGGGGAGCAGGATTCAATCACTGACCATCATCTCCATGAAGAACCTTTTCCCAATGTCCAGTCTGAACTTTTCCTGATGTGGCTTCATTCCCTTTCTCCATAGCCTATCACTGGCCACCAGAGAGGAGATTAGCATGTCTCACTTCACTGCCCACCTTGAGGAAGTTGTAGGTTGCCCTGAGGTCACCTCAACCTTTTCTTCTCCAAGCTGAGGAAACCAAATGGCCTCAGTCTTGCCACTGAGAATTTTCATTGTGACCACCTTGGTCACACTCTTCTGGACACTCTAATAGTTCAATGTTTTCTTACCGTGGCACCCAGAACTGCCCCCAGAACACGAGGTGAGGCTGCCCCAGCTCAGAGCAGGACAATGCCCTCCTTTGCCTGGCTGGCCATGCTGTGCCTGATGTCCCCAGGACACTGCTGGCCCTCCTGGCTGCCAGGACCCATGTTCAGCTGACCACAGACCCAAATCCCCAGATCTCTTTCCCCAGGCCTCCAGTCCTCAAATCTGCATGTACATCCAGGATTATCCTATCCCAAGTGGACAGTCTGACAACTGACCTTGTCCAGTTTCTAATGGTTGGTAGTTGCCCAAATTTCTAATCTACCCACATATCTCTGAAGAGCATCTCTACCCTCAAGGGAGTCCACAACTTTTCCTAGTGTAATAAAATCACCACACCTATTTAATGTACATTTGATCCCTGCATCCAGATTTTTATAAAAACATTACAGAGCACTGGTAAAATGGAGCCCTGAGGAACCTCTGGTCCCTGCTGCCAGCCTGATGTAACAACATTTACCAAAACTCTCTGAGCCCAACCCAATGGTTGCTCACACAATGTATTATGGGCTCAACTTGCTGTATGCCAGGCAGTTTATCCAGCAGGGTACTGTGGCAGACAGTACCAAAAGCTCTTCTGAAATAAAACCAGTCCACATCTACTGGGTTCTCTTGGTCACCTAGGGATACTTTGACAAAAAAAAAAGAAAATTAATTTGGTCAAACAGGACTTTTCCCTTGTAAACCCATGCTCACTCTGGTGACTGCATTCTCTCTCAAACAATGTTTTTCAGTAACTCCCAGAAATCCTTCCCTATGATTTTTACCACAGGCTGCAGTGCAAATGCCAGGTCTATTACTTTCAGAGTTTTCTTTTTATCCTTCTTCAAAACTAGGACAAATTTCCAGGCTTGCTCTGGCACATCTCCAGACTCACAAGACAAATTAAATATAATGGAAAGAGGGCCTGCCAAGTGCACCAGTCAGTTCTTCCATGGAAAGAATCCTATCTGGTCCCACACACATGTGTGCATCCAACTGAAACAGCAAGTTTCATACAATTTCAGGACTTCCTGGGAGTCTATCATTCCCCAAGTGACAGTCTTCCAACAAGGGGTTCTGAGGATCCCAGTCCATCATTGGTCTTGAAGACAGATGGTGAAGGTGGCATCATTCTCTGCTGTGTCTGAAATTTATTTGAACCTCATCAAGCAATGGATCAATGTTATCTCTGATCCCTTTTTTGCTGTTAACACATAAAACCCAAAAAAGCCCTTTTTGCTTTCCTTCACAGTTTGTCCTGCACAGCTTGAATTCTGAGTTTTGGTCACACAATTTTTTTCCCCACAGAGATGAGTAGCATCTCTGCCATTCTCTCATGTCACCTTGTTTCCACTGCTCATATGCTTTCCTTCTCCAAGTTCACTGCTCAGCCTAGCCAACCTTCTGCCCCACTGGCTTGACTTTCAACAGGTGTTTGGCTGCTCCTGCACTCTTAAAGGAGAGCTCTTGAAAAGGGACAAGCATATAACTCAAATAACTTTAAAAACAAATATTCCCAAGAGACTTTACTAACTAGTTCCTTAAACAGCCCATAGTCTGCTCTTCCCCATACAAGACGATGAGCAACTATTACTAATGACGTTTATGAAGAAAAGCAGTGCATTAAATAAGGCAGATAAGGGGGAAAAGTGGGTCCTTTGTAGTAATTTCATTTTCTTATGTGTCTAGACTGAGAATCTAGCACCTCAGAACCAATTCCCACCCAAAAATAAAGAACATATATGAAATAATTTTATTTTAGCTATTTTACCAGTTAGAGACAAGTTTGAGCAGAGTGCAGCAGGTGCCCCAGAGCTCTGTTCACAAGAACATTTAGGCCAAAGAGATTAGTCTGAGCAGACCAAAGCTAGTGATCTTCCTTGCTTTCTTAGTAATGATGTCCAAGATCTGAGTCCACGTGCATGAGGAGCTGGTATCTGACAGTCATGAAGTTCACCTTGTAGAAGGTCCTGCTGCTGCATCATGGCTTAAGAAATGATCTCTTGAATAGTGAGCAATAACTCCTACTGGACACTTCTCAGAAGTGAGACTAGGGAGCTGACAAAAAGCAAAATTAAATGCTACAGCAGAGACTGGCTTGAGGAATATGGTTATGGTCTACTCTGGATCACAATGAAGAAAATTTCAAGGAGTTTTGATTTTTTGGTAAAATTATGGTATTGTGAACTGCCCCTTTTCTTATATCTGAATCAGTTTGCTTAGGAGAAAGAAACAGCCTTGAAACTTGACATTAATTTGAGTTGAGGTTGCTGTACAAAGGACTCACCATAGCATGGTTTAATGCTCAAGGCAAACTGCAAAGCAGGTTAGAATCTCTAACGAGGTGCTGACAATCCCTATTAATAGGGGCCTTGCCTCGTTTGCATCAAGAAAGAACATAGGCAGGGGAGACAAATTCACTTTCAAACAGAGTTAAATATGAATTACAAATAATTCAGGCCTCAAAGAAACCTTGAACAGTTTAGTGTGATCCACTCACTAGAAAACAGACTGAGAATAAAAGTATTGCAAAATGCTCATCTGTGGCATCTTCCATTTTGTCAAGAACAAGAAAATATAAATACAAAAGCTACAACTGGAGGTAAGGAAACAGGAAAAAAGAAGAAGACATTCTTATAGCAAATGGAATTTCTTCACACAGGACACTACCAAAACAACAGTATTGGGGTCTGCAGGAGCAAGAACCTGAGACCAGTGCAGAAGAGCAGAAGCTTGAGGACAACAAAGTGAAAACACTGCAGCAGTGCTCTGTGACACACTGTCCCAGAAGCCCATGTGAAAGGGAGCTGGAATTCGAAGGCAGGCTACAGAATTGCAGATGGGAGGCCAGTGCCTTGTCCCTTCCTGCACCAGGCTGGATGCAGATGGAATAATGAGCTGCTGCTTAGGAGTTTTAAGTCAGGTGCTAAGAGCATGCATAAGGAACCTGCAGTTTCTTGTGTGCATCCCATTATTTACAGGAGGTCCAGCTTTGCTGAAGTGCTCCCAGTGACAAGGGGGAGTAACCTGATTTTTGAGATGCTCATTGTTACAGGAATTGCTGATGCCAGCTCAGACAGAGCTGAAGATGAAACCTCCCTCCAAACACAGGGAAAACATCTCTCCTGTCCTGCTGCAGCTTTATTCTATACTAACACCACCTGCAAGAGAAGCAAGAGTGACTTTATGCTGTTTTGCAGCAGCTCATGATGAGTTTGAAGCTGGAAACCCCTTCATACCCCTGCCCTTTTCTTCCACTGAGCCCAGCAGAACATTAGACCTGCAGTCCCAGAGTACATTCAAAGCTTTAGGTACAGACTGAAATAGTCCTCAGCTCTTAACCAATTGGAGGTATTCTAACTGTGAGTAAATGAAATTACTTTTATTTGCTCACCTTTTGAAAACATTTTAAGTGATACACCAGTGAATTCCTGCCCTTTATCTGCATATCAATTATTCATTATTTTCATTAAAGAAAACCAAGCCATGCTATGAGGATGAAAGAAATCTGTACTGCTGTCTTTCTCTCTGCCCTCATACATTTTTATTTCAGATTACTTTTAATCTACATGTATTTGAAATAGGAAAATGTGTGGGTTTTATTAGCAATAAAACTTTAGGAGATTTTCCCCCCTACTGATTTTTCATAGATTTATGGATCCATAATCATTCACGTCACAGCCTAAGGGAAACGAGGTTTGAACGGGATAATAGCCTTTAAATCCCCTCCTCTAAGCACTCAGATCTTTGCTGTCAGCAAGATTAAAATGGCCAACAGCAGTCTTCATGTGTCTATATCCCACACAGAGCTTTCACAACAACTGGAGTGGTGGCTGGCAGGGAGAAATATGCAGAACCACTGCTGTGCATAATTCTTCTGAGATAAAGAGAGAAGGAAACCAGGTTGCCAGCTTTTGCAGTGTTGAAAAGGACTGGTGTTAACTACTTGCTCGTGTGAATGCAAAGAGCGGAGAAGAGTAAGGAATAATATTATGTTGCAGTTTAATAGTCAGCAAGAGTTTATTTTCTTAAAACATAAAGGCAGAGAGATGGAAGCACCGAACATCCTCCTGCAGCCCAGCAAGGGGAAGGAAAAGGAAGTCGTTCATGTAGACAAGCAGAGTGGTTCCTCTGCCACCACTCCCTTGAATACCCAGCCCCTACTGCAACCAGGATCTGAGGGGAATTACAACTATTATGTGGATGATGAAGATGAGGAAGATGAAGAGAAAGAACAAGAGAAATGGCCATATGAAGACGGATTTAAGGGAGAAAGCAAGGCCTCATCATTTATTCCTTTTTCCCCTGCTCTTTCCTCTAGATCCCCGGCCACATCATCTGCTCCATCCATACTGAACATCAATGTTGGTGGCCAAAGTTATCGCCTCACCTACCAGGCAGTGGCCATCTACCCCAAGACCCGCCTGGGCCGCCTGGCTACCTCCACTGACCGTCGCTGCCAGCTGGGCTTGTGCGATGACTACGCTGCCCATGTAGATGAGTATTTCTTTGACCGCGACCCAGCTGTCTTCCAGCTGGTGTACAATTTCTATGCCTCGGGGGTGCTGCGGGTGAGGGATGAGCTGTGCCCCCGTAGCTTCCTGGAGGAGCTGAGCTACTGGGGTGTGCGTCTCAAATACACACCCCGCTGCTGCCGCATCTGCTTCGAGGAGCGCCGGGATGAGCTGAGTGAGCAGCTGAAGGTCCAGCGGGAGCTGCGCTCCCAGGCAGAGGCTGAGGAGAACGAGCAGCTCTTCCACCATATGCGCTACTACGGTCCTCAGCGCTGGCGCCTCTGGAACCTCATGGAGAAGCCCTTCTCCTCTGTCACCGCCAAAGTGATGGCAGTGGCCTCCAGCTTCTTTGTGCTGATCTCCGTGGTGGCCCTGGCACTCAACACAGTAGAGGAGATGCAGCAGGTAGACTGGAAGAGTGGGGATAGCCGGCCTGTCTTGGAGCATGTTGAGACCTTGTGCATTGCATTCTTCACACTGGAGTACCTGCTGCGCTTGGTCTCTACCCCAGACCTGCGCCGCTTTGCCAGCAGTGCCCTCAATGCAGTAGACCTCATTGCCATCCTGCCCCTCTATCTGCAGCTGCTGCTTGAATGCTTTACTGACGATGACCAGCCCCGGGGTCGGGGTTCCCAACACGAGCACGATATCGAGAAGGTGGGACGGGTGAGCAAGGTAGGACAAGTGCTTCGCATCATGCGCCTCATGCGCATCTTCCGCATCCTCAAGCTGGCCCGCCACTCCACAGGGCTGCGTGCCTTTGGCTTTACTTTGCGCCAGTGCTACCAGCAGGTGGGCTGCCTTTTGCTCTTCATTGCTATGGGCATCTTTGCCTTCTCTGCCATGGTCTACACAGTGGAGCACGATGTCTCCAGTACCAACTTCACCAGCATTCCCCATGCTTGGTGGTGGGCCGCCGTAAGTAAACACATCTTACCTTGCTGGGTAGCCAGAGACCTTCCCTTCCTTCCCCTCCCCTTCCCCTCTCCTCCCAGCTGGAGTTGCTGACAGTCTTGAAAACGACAGTCTCGAAAACAACAGTCTTGGATCAGTGAACATCTGCTCTGAATTCTGAGCTTACAGGACATAAGCACACGCACACACACACACACACACGTGAACATCTGCTCTGAATTCTGAGCTTACAGGACATAAGCACACGCACACACACACACACATGCACATATGCACTCATTCACCTCTCTGTAAGCTTAAATCAAGGCTTAATCAGGCAGGCAGTCTTGAAATTCCCATATCTCCATATGCAGATAGTATTTCCACCTTTAAAGAAAAGGTGGGCAAAGACACAGGAAAAAAATGCGGTTCCCAGTTTAGTATCATTGTCAGCATTGCTAAAACAATAGGGAAAAAAATGCATGCATTTGACTCTGTAGTTACAGGATTTTTGTTCTTATTCTGTGTGTAGGTCTTTCGTGACCCATTAAATTGCAAAATGATGAGACATAGTTTATTAACTACAGTCAGATCACTTGCACTTTAAAAGTGAAAGCTGTCCCAGAACTCTGGCTGTTAAAAATCCATTAGGACCACCAGTTGTTTTACACAAGAGATTGTGTTCTGCTGTGGTGCAGAAGATGTGTGAATTTAAAGCACCTTGTATTAAATCAAGGGGTAGCTAGACATTGTTGATGCCAAGTGAAGGCACAAGACCCACATCGTGGCCATCCATAACCCTAAGGCTCACCCTAGACTATTGTCCCATTGTTTTGTTTTGCAGCAGCTGATGGTGGCCTGAATAGTCTATTTTTGTGGGGGGCTCCAGGAGCACTTCTGATCCCTGGGCATGGCTATGGGTCAAGCTCTGTCCCAGTCATTTCCCTGAAGAAAGAAGCCCATGCAAATAGACTGGATAGGAGTTAAAACATCTCATGCTGGTTGATCAGCAAAGATACAGAATACCCCCCCAAAGATGCATATGAGGCCCACCAAACAGTAATCCCAACCCATTCAAGGTCACTTCTCCTGGCCAGCCATCCTGGAGCCCAAGGTCTGTATGTCTGGTTCTGCCATGGACAATGAGATGTGGTGGTTTACCACACATTTGCAGTGATTCAGCACGTGGCATATAAAAAGCCTTGCAGACAAGCATAAATGCACACATTTGTATATGCACACGCGTGTGTAACTGTGCTAAATACAGGCTTTAAACTGGGCCATGGGAGGATGGAAAAATCAGTGAGTAAAGGAAAGAGTCCTGTAATGTGACCTTCATAGATCATCTGTAGGTGATTTATAAAGCTATGAAAACACTAGTGATTCATACATTGGTAAAATATTTTGTGTTCTGAACATGCAGGTTATATGCAAAATCAATGTGGCTCATTTTTGCAAACTGGTGATACCATAATCATTCAGATATTCTTAATAAACTTATATGGTTAGGTCTATTTAGCTGAGCAAATGCCTTCAAAACAGGAGCTGTGTCATGCACATTGCAATTCCAAAGCATAAATCACTTTTTAAAGTTATTAATTCTTTAGGACTGTAAATTAAAATATTTAGATCATTCCAATTTTATAAAAAGCCAACAGCATTCACCAACTCATACATGCAAGAGAAGAAGCATCCCTCCTGAACTGTTACAGGCAATGTATAAGACTATGCCAGTGGTACAGAACCTTATCACAGGATAATGCTTTTGTCCTGGCTAGTAGAGATAAACATCTTGCCTTCATCTCAGTATTTATTTTTGGAGATATTTATCCTGTATTATCATTCAAATCCAGTGACTTAATTTCCATTAAACCAAAACACTAATCCTTTTTATTCCACAGGAAGTACCAGGTGCATCCTAAAAATGTGCTCACCCAGGCTGTCTCATGTACTCTAATGTTTTCTTCATTTAAAATACCAGTCTATTTACCATTTTAATAGATGACAAACTACACAGTGACCTTCTGAAGACTTATTTCAGTGTTAAAGCCACAAGGGCATTACAATGAAAGTCCTACTCTTTGTGGCTTATTTTTGTCAGAATTTTTGGTTACTGTTTAGCAGATGCACACAGTGCGTTAAGACACTGTGAAAAAAAAAAATTAAATAAAATTCACTGGTTGAATAAGATTCCTTGCACAGACTAGAAAGTGACAGCAACATGCATATTTTACCTGTGAGGAAAAAAAATGTAAGTTATATTTACTCAGTATAAAAAATATTAAACATCAAAATATGTGCAGTGAAACTAAATAAATTAGGAGTTATCTCAGGTTGACTGTTTGACATTTTTCAAATGTAGCATCTCCATAATCAAACATTCATTAATTTTTGATCTGAATTTTACAATGGAAGTATTTCAGTACTTGGTGTAGCACTGGACCCATAAAAGAGTTCCCTCATACATCCATAGGCTAGAAAGAGAAAATTATATTGGCTGAGAAGAAAAATGGAAAGGTATGTACACAGTGAGCTGGCAAAGTGTTCAGAATCATGCAAAATAAATACACTAAACGCCATCACTCTTAAAAAGAAGCCCCAAAACAAATCCAACAACCAAAGCTGAAACATTTTCAGCAATCCCTAAATCCTTCTTCAAAAGGAAATTCAGCAAAAATTACCCACCTGTGTACTTATTTAACACTATAACTATACATGTTGCAACCATACACTGCAAGCAAAACCTTCCAGGCTACAGTACTTTGTGGGTATGTAACCATTAAAGGGAATTTTATATAGAAACGTTAAAGTTCTGCGTAATTTCTTCCTATAATGCAAATAGGAAAATTTATTTCATAATTAATTGAAGGTTTTTGTGTGTTTTTCACTAGTTCCTAAAATATCTATGAAAAACAAAGGTAAAACTCAAAATACAACCCACAGAATAAGTCCCAAATACTGGGTTTTATCAGCACAGTGGATTTAGAAACAGGACATCTGTTCCATGTGACATGATGAGGGAGCAAGTTTGCAGCTATCAGTGGATTTGCATAGTAAGGGAGCCACATCTATCCTCTCTGTACAGCCAAGCAAACTCACCTTCTGGACTAGTCTAGTGCAGAAATTGTCTTGAAATTCTCTCTGCAGGGCAAAAATCTAAAAATCCTCCTGAATGGTGTCAAACCATTGTCTTTCTTTGCTTCATGAGAGGGTTTGGTTTTTTTAAATTAGGGATATTTTGCATAAGAAAGCTAGTAGATACACACACAAAAATCAAACAAAGAAAACTCCAAAAACCCAAACAAAAACAAAAAACACAAACAAACCACAGCAGACTATTTTAAACTTACAATACAAATTTAAAAAGAGCTAACTGTAGCATTGTCCCTGATCAGTGGACATATCTGTGTATTTCTTCTCAGCTAATAAACTCCATGTTGGTTTGCCTGTAGGTCAGCATCTCTACAGTGGGATATGGAGATATGTGTCCAGAAACTCACCTTGGACGCCTGTTTGCTTCTCTCTGCATTGCTTTTGGAATAATCCTGAATGGCATGCCCATCTCCATCCTCTACAATAAATTCTCAGACTATTACAGCAAGCTGAAGGCCTACGAGTACACAGCTCTCAAGAAAGAAAGAGGAAAGGTTGACTTCACACGGAGAGCTGTGAGGAAAATATCTGAGTGCTGCGGAGAAGTTGCATCCCACCCTTTGTCACAGCAATGATAGTTTGTGCTCTCAATATTGGGAGGCCACCAAGAAGCTGGAGGAGAAAGAGGAAAAACAAATCAGCCAAAAGATAAATGAAAAGGGCCAAAAGTAACAAAAGTAGATGGTGACATCTGTTTTGAAGGGGGTTGTTTTCAAAACTAAAAAGGCTCAGCATAAAACAACAGATTTTTTTGAACTCTGATAGCCTGTGAGCAGCAATTGAGTGATTATCAACTCTCTGAAATTAACTCCTTCAGATTAAACACTCTGAATAAGTCCCACATGAAGATCTAACCCTCTGCTACTGATTAGATTGACAATAAATACCCACCATAATTGTACAAACAGAAAACAAATTGTCATTAAGGATCAGCCACCTTACCTCTGTCAAGGCAGTGTCAAAAATTAAACTAACAGAATACTCAATATACTGACTGCATCACTTAAATTGGTTTTACATCAGCTTTCAATTAGAGGAAAATGGCCTAGAGCACTTACCTAAATATTACCAGCAGCTATACTCCCTAAAATGTCAACCTCTGTTTCCATTGCCAGATAGCTATGGTTCATTGTTCTAATTTAATTTTCAAATGCAGCCCTGCAAATGAGCCCTCCTATTTTCATGTCTAGTCAAGCAATGCACTGCTTTTAGCATTTCCCACTGCCCCACCTCTATAATCATCTTTCTGCATGACAAGAACTAGTGAAGAATTCTGGAGTCTGAATTGATAAATCTCATTAATCAAATCTGAAAAAAATTCCAAAACAAATCCTTTTTAGGTATAGGACTAAGTGATAATTTACTTTGCAGAATTTAATGTACCTACTTATTCAATTGTTAGAATAATAGATCTGTCAAGGAACGTAAGTATTAAAGCAGTAGTTAAAAAATAATCAAAGGAAATATGTAGTTCATAGCAACACTTAAAGATTATTCATACAAAGGATCTTATCAGCACTTCACTGTAACCAATTTTTAATATGATTTAAAATCAAGATAACTTGTCTGGTACATACAGCCATTAGGGATACAATCCTGACACCTTAGCCCATGCCCAGGAGTACCTTATTTCCTAAGATTTACTGTGTCTTCTTGCACAGCTGGACGGGATTTCTCATGTGTCTAAACTCATCCCAAAACTTAAATAACAAATAAAACCAACAATAATTAAATGGAATTGCAGTTTTATGTATTACTTCACAGACTATCAGGAATATTTTTTTTTTATGTAAGAGCAGTCGTATCAATTTAGAAACAGTAATCTGAATAACAGATCTGAAAGAAATAATTATTTTATTGATAATCAGGTGCAAAGACCTGAAAGAAAAAAGGTGTAATGAAAAGGATGAATAGTAACAGTGCATTGATATGAACCATGGCTGTTAGTCAGCAGCACTCCTGCTGCAAAGCATCTTAATGACAGAGATGAATTTCAAAACTCTTGAACTCTCATGTTTTGTCTGTGCTGCCCTGATGAATACAAATGGCTGCATTAAGATCTCAGGGCCACATGGGACACTGTGGTGTGAAGCTCACTCAGGGACAGCTGAGGGTGAAAATGTTCATTAATTTTGACACATCCATGTGAGTAGTGTCAAGCATGGTGACATTTCTCCTTTCAGTGGTGGGAAGGTAATTAGTAACCAACTTGCTCTTCTCATTCTCTACCTCCAGATGAAGCTATCATAAGCCCATCTGTCATTTTGTTCTTTAGGAATGACAGTCAGAACACTGTGTGCTGATCAGCTCTGTTAAAAGCTAAACCATGTCTTTAAGGCACAGCTGAACCCTGGGAGTTCAATGTGATAGATGTTTGCTGTTCTGGACTGCACACAATGAAGCAGGCACAATCCTGGCACTCACTGAGAAGAATAGCAGCTTTGCTTTGGCCCTAGAGAATTTGCATAGCCCTTCTGCACAGCAGCAACAGGACAAGAATCTTCCAGGGACCACAAGAAACCTCTTACTGCAGTTCAGTGAGGTGATAAAGTTACAAGCATGCAAAACCACAACTATGCTTTATTTTCAATATGCAAATTTATTTAGACCCATTAAAAGAATGTAAAATCTGGTGATTACTGAATTTTCCAAAATATAGGACACTGTAAATCAACTCCTTTGCTGCAAGAATTCATACTTGCATGACCAGGCAGATGGGATGCAGATGCTCAGCCTTGCATGGCAGGCCCAGAAGCTTCTTGCCACCTACAAAAATCCAGAGCCTGAGGACTAACTCTGCTGCGACTGAGCTTTGTCACAGCCTCAGACCTGACAAAGATCACTAGTTTCATTTTCCATCCCATTTGCCTCACCGCCAGGACCTATTCAACTAGACATTTTTTAAGACATGTAATGAAATAGATTTTCCACACCAAACTCAAGCAGAAGAGAAAGGAGTCTTGCCTCTTAATCAGAGTCAGAATTTAAAGTCCTTGGCAAATGCTTTATCTGTTCAATAGGATTTCAATGCACAAATCAGTCCTGCTCTATCTCTTCAAATACAGCTTGAAGAAAGTCTCTTGCACCCCTCTAGTTGAATCTGTTCCATTTTGCACCATGTAAATAATAGCCCACATGGTGACAGTAAAAGGAAGATCATACAGCTTAGTGTTTCCAGCACTTAGCTGGGTGGAAAGGAGTGTGTCACAGGTCCTGCTTCAATAAAGAGCAATGACAGTACCCTGACCAAGCAGCAAAGTCTTCCCAAACCCCCAGCCTCCTCTGGCCCCAGCATTTTTTAGTTGAGGGCTAAAATTTTGAAGGAATCCAGAGTCTCCACACACTACAGACACCTGAAATCAAATTTACTTAGAGTACCTCACAGCCTAATGGCTACGGGCCAAAAACACTGCCAGACACAGTGATTTCTATCCCTTCAGAAGCACAAGACATTGTGCCCAGTACCAACAGGTCCCATTTGGGTGCCCTGAGCATCAAGGCCATCACACTTTGGGCAGCTCAGCTTACCTAGCAGCTGCTCCACTCTCTTTTTTCTCAATGCTCTTTGTCCCCTCATCCATCATCCAGCCCCACCATCTCACAGAGGGCAGCTTTGGTACCACTTGACTACTCTGTGCACTGACTCAGCACACAAATGTGACTCTTCGGGGGAGGGGGGACAGGGTTTATGATCAGGTTCAGCGCCAAGGGCTCCCACCAATAGTAGAGCTGGCACAAAGTACATATTAGAAGTGTGCAGTCCAGAGGACACACCTCTGGCAGTAAGCATAAGGCTACACAAATTACTGCATTTTGTTTTGCAATACCTGTCACCTCTGGTCTGCTGCACTGAAGAGGTAAATTGGAGCTGAGTGGAATAAAGCACTTTGCAGAAAATTAGAAGTTAGTGCTTGGTAGGTTTTTTCCCTAAAGATTTGTCATTTTCTTCTCTGGATTATCTTATGCAGTTTTCTGTCTTTGGCATAACTATTCTTATTTTAAGAGTGACAAGCATAAATCTGTGCATTTCAATAGGAAAAATTATGCCTAAATCTGAGGTACCATTATAGGAATCAGACAGTGCCTGGATTGCTCAGGGCCCTATCAGCGCCACCACTTATTACACTACCCATGCAGACTGGAACTAGCAAGATCATTCCACAAATTCTCTCCCTCTCCAAAGGGAATTCCAGCCAGCTCAGAGGAAGAAACAAGTTCATATTCCCACAGAACAGACTTCCGAGAATCTGCAGAAGGCTGTGCAAACCTGTATCAGCTGGCTTTGAAAGAAGACTCAGTTAATTTACTGTGCACATCCACAAAGACTTTCAGTGGCATCACTGTCCCTAAATTACCCAAACAAAATTGTCAACTGGTAGACATGATGACATCCAAAAACAACACAGGAGAGTCATGATTGTCATGGTTACTTGCATTCCATAGGGCTTTGGCAATCAAAAGGTTTTGAAATTACACATCAAGAGAAAACATGCTTAAACACAACAAGATGGGCAATCCTACTAAAGATAAAGTAGACAGTCTTGTTTTATGAGATGTTAATTTGGCATTACTAAGGTTTTGTGGAAACAGGGCGGAGAATTCTAAACTACTGAGAAATTAGAAATCTCTCTAAATATGGTCATGCTAGAGTCTTCTATTTTAACTAACTGCAGATATTAATGAGACCTAGAGGGAGAAGGAAAATATATTCTATTATTATGTTTCACTACAGACTTGGCAAACATGTTGTCTCTGTAAAACAAAGAAACAGACAGTTTATCTGGATGGCCTTCATTTTAGGAGAACCAAGCATTGTTTCGTCTACTTAATTCAGTCCTGGGGATTATTGGGGGGAAAGGGGGATGAAAAAGAACAGAAAAGTAAAAAGGAAAAAAAAAATGAAAAAGAAAGGAGAAATTTTTTTTAAATATGGGTGGGGGTAGTAGAAACGTAGTCTGTCCCTACATGAGATAGTGGAAAGAATTCCAGTTAGAATATGCTCCTGCACAAATCCTGTCTTTTAAGAACATCACTTTTTCAGTGCAGTTCAGGAGCTGCTTGTTTTTCTCACTCAGAAAGATAGCACTTGATGGGGTAGCTACAGTACACAACAGATTAATAGGCATCTGGTACTATTGCTAGGTTTTTAAGGCAAATAGCAATATTCTGTCTTTAAATATTGTAAGCAAACTAAGTGAAATTTTTTAAAAATCAACTAGGAATACTTCAAGATATTTGATGAAATATAATTACTATCAATAAGACTAAGAGATGAAAGCCATCACTTTGCTTAAAAAAAACAAACTTCTACTGTTTAGACCATTCTGGTTTTATGTCATGCAAAAATATGTTTATCTACTATTACAAAACTTTTATTAACTTCTTTATTTGGTAGCATAAACATTACATGCCTTTTGACTGTAATCCAGTCCTTTATCTAGGACTAAAGTTGGGAAAGGTCAGAGGTAGTAGTTTTTTATGTACTTAATTTAATGGAACTATGCTGAGAAAAATTAAAGCTTTCTGCAAGTCTTGAGATTGAGATTATCATTGTTTTTCAATAAACTTGTCAGAG